AGGCATCACACTACAAACTGAGAGATTGTGAGTTCTAGTCCTGTCTATAATTTATAACGTTCGCTTTGATAAATTCATCAAAGATTGACCTTTCAATGGCTATTTGGAACGTCTAGGGTTTTACAGAATTACAGATAGTCCTACACTTACGACCCGATAGTCCTACACTTGGGACCCGAATTTCCAGCATTAAGCAAGGCAGTTGTTGAAAGAGTTGCACCTGATTTTGGGAGCCATTTTGCCACACTTGTTAAATAAACCTTTGCAGTTAAGGGAATCTTAACAAGTCACTAAATGAATGATTGCAAATTGCAGACTACCCCATGTAATCCACTAAATTACAGTTGCCAGGGTTTATTTTGAGAATCAGTTTGGTGTAGTGGTTCAGGCATCAGGCTAGAAACTGGGAGGTTGTGAGTTCTAGTCCTGCCTTAGACTCAGGGGTGGGCTTCAAAAAATTTAGCAACTGGTTCTCTGCCCAGTTGCTGGGTGGATGTGGCCATGGTGGGCATGGCATAGTTGGCCTCCTGAACCACAGTGGGGTGGGAGGCATTTTTGCCTTCCTCAGGCTCCGGAGGCTTTCCTTGAGCTTGAGAGGGTGAAAACAGCCTCCCCGGGCTCCGGAGGCTCTGCGGGCCCATTTCTGGCCTTCTAGAACTTCCAGGAGGCCCATTTTTTGCCCTCCCTGGGCTCCAGAGGATTTCCTCAAGCCTCCAGGAGGCCAGTTTCCCACCTCCCAGGGCTCCAGAGGCTCTCCAGAGACCAGAAACGGGCCCGTTTCTGGCCTTCCAGAGCCTCTGGGAGGCTCATTTTTCTACCCTCCCCAAGCCTCTGCGCAGGCCCTGCACTTACCTGGGATCCAAAATGGGCTTCATGGAGACTCCTGGGAGGGACGGGGCAGGGTGGGTGGGGCCAGCCAATCATTCCAACTACCAGTTCGGTGAACCAGATGTAAAATTAACACTTTTTTTTTTTTTTTTACTTATTCAGGTATTCCTTCTACGGTCTAATAAGTGCCTTGAAAGTGCCATCTTTTCTGCTGGGTTTCATCTTTTACATGCTTGTGAAGAAAAACCTTAAAAAACAAGAGGCCGAGAAAGCTGAAAATGGATGCAAAGAAGGTGCACCACTGAATGAAGAGATAAAACTAACGGATACCAAACTTCCAGCCCATCGTTCAGAGGCAGACGTGAATACCTGCCTCTAGCAAAATGAACCGAGCATGGACTGTGGGTAGAAGATGAAGGACTATAAAAAGCTGCCAAAATGTTCCTTGTAACTCTTAGAATCCCCGCTGGCTGTAGCTGCTAAAAAAGGGTGGCATTGCTTCCTGTCACTTTTGAGTGGGAAAGTTGCCCCATTAAAGCAAAATCAGTATTCCTTTGGCATTCCAAGCAAAAAAAGTGTTTACTCCCACTCTTTTGCAAAGCAAAACTCTGAAAGGCAAAGGAACTCCCATCTTGTGAGGTCTTGTCAAAAAGAAAAAGAACACACATGATCATTAGTTGCACGGAAGTAAAAACAAAACATTGAATTCTGGAACTGATACAAAGAATAATTTAAATCCAACACCTCAAATTTTGTAAGATTTCTAGGTACCTGTGATGTCTTAATTGATTATGTGGTTCCTCTCCAAAAATAAAGGTCTAGTACCATTTTACAGGGGGTGGGGGTTGGGCAGAGAAAGAAAGGAAGGAAGGAAGAAAAAGGAAGAAACAGGAAGAAAGGAAGGATGAAAGAAAAAGAAAGAAAGAAAGAAAGAAAGAGAGAAAGAAAGAAAGAGAGAGAGAGAGAGAGAGAGAGAGAGAGAGGGAGAGAGGGAGGGAGGGAGGGATGAAAACCCTGAAGTTGGTCCAAGAATTTATTTCATGCTGTGATGAAATTTGTTTTGGGTCAGATAACCATTAACTAATCTAGCATTCAAAGGTACATTTTGATCTAATGCAACAATCTTGCCCTACTTTGCAAAAAAAAACAAAAAACAACAGGAAAAAAATATTTCTCTTTGTTTTATTTCTTAATGGGGCTGGAGTAAAATTAATTAATGAGATTAATATTTTCAATTCTGAAAGTTACACTGACCTGCTATCCCATTTTGAAGGTTAGTACTGCAAGTTCTAAAAATCATACAGAAACGAAACAATGTGCATCTACGGTTTTGTACCTATTTATACACATTAACCTGCTCTTCATAATTAACAACTGATTTTAAAGCCAGGATATAAATATACTTAAGGTGCATTCATCCTCAAGTCTATTCCCGAATTGGCCTTTTCCCATATGTTTTTATGGATCAATATTTTATGGTCTTCAATCCTGTGGGATTTAAGCCATGGTTTTTATTTTAAACATTCATACACAAAATATTTGCATTACCAGGGCCAAAATCAGCTTTCTGAAAGCTACCAATAGATTGACAGAAAGATTTAGCTATGGAAAAAAAAAACTTTCATGGTTTGTGTGTTGCACATAAAAAATGTTGGTCTGATCAGTAACCATGATATTTTTTTTAGCCTTTATTAGATATTCATGCCTATCTCAAACATCATTTGTTTGGAAGGGAATAGAGATCCAAAAATCTCATGTGTTAGCTTTCTTCTTCTTTAGCATTCCTTGCACAATGCTGGAGAACCTAGGACCTTGTGGAAGTATAACTTCATTGATCTTGGCCTATCTGGAAGATACAGGTAGTCCTTGACTTATGAACCACAGTTGAGCCCAAAATTTCTGTTGATAAAGAAGAGGGTATTTCAGTGGCCTTTCCCCTCTTTGTAGCCATAGTTATGTGAATCACTGCAGTTGTTAAGTTAGTAACATGGTTACAGTGCTGGCTCTTCGGCTTTGAATCGGAGATGAGCACTGCCCCTAGGGCCGGAAATGACTAGCATGTATGTGCGAAGGGAACCTTTACCTTTAACTTCAAATGGTCACTAAACGAATAGTTGTAAGTCAAGGACTACCTTTAATGAAAGTTGTACTCCAGCAGTATTTCTGGAAGATCACAGATCTCCCATCCCTGTTATAAACTGCTGAATAAATACTTACACCAACAAGCTTTCATGTCAGAGTTTAGAGCCTAGTGATAGGCTTAGTAATTAGTAATGTCCAAAAAAATGATGTAATAAACTAATAGCGTCAGGGTGAATACTTGAAACTCATCTCTAAGCATGATCTTATACCTAAAATCTGCTTTCTTTTAAAGCTACTGTGGGAAGTTAAAGCCCACCTAGAAAAATGAAATATTTTAGGAAATATTAAAAGGGCAGAATATTTCCCCTGAAAGGGAGGCAGAAACTCAGCCCTCCCACTTTTGTTAATGGGCCAGTCTATTCTACATAACAAAGATCTACCTCCTTCAGGAAGAGCCATTTAATTGCCCTTCATTGCATCACCCACCAAGTTTCAACCAAACTTAGCAAACAGACAACCTACAAAGCTAGCTAGGACCCCCTGACAGCAGCCAATCAGGATACTCTTCCGGTGCCCCAGGAAGTTCAAAGCCAGAGTGCATAAAACCCAGGCACTCTCAGCATCTCTTCCCATTTTTTCACCCAAGATCTCCAAGGCATGTGATCCTGTTCATCAATGAACCACCTTTCCAAGCAACTTCCATGATTCCAGTGTCTTTTTCCCCACTTGGAACTGAACCCAGAAGGATGTTTCTTCCAACACTACACAATGATCACGGGGCATTCCTTCCATTATTTTTGTCCTAAAAAGAAGAAGAGACACATCCTATTCCTCCCCCACCCTCCCCAATTAACAAGAAATAAATAAAAATACTTGAAAGCTTACCCTTCTTTTATTTGAAAGCTACTCTATTTTGAGGGCTTTTAGCACGTTGCAGTAATGTATCAGGAAATGAAAGTATTTATTGATGGAGCCATTCCCACAACGCACAATTAAATGGCGTGAGCTAATTTTCTTTTTTTCTTTTTTCTTTTAAAAAAGGTATGATTTCTCATCACTCTAATGAGACAACATTATCGCTGCTGAAAATGTCAGGGGAAAAGAAAATAGTCAAACCAGAAAATCAGCTGGCTAAAATTACTCTCTGAGAACTTCTTCATTAGTTTTTGCAACAGATCCATTAGCAAAGGATGTTGAAGTCGCCGCCATCTTGGAATCTCAATTTTTCCCCACCTCCGGTACAGTTTCCCCAAATCTTCCTTCTCTCTATGGCCGGGTTCACATGAACCATAAACTACTGTGTGAAAACCGCAAGCTATTGTGTGAAAACTATTTTGTGAAAACCAAATTATAAATTAACAATGGGAGATTAGTTTATAATTTACACAATCATTTCTACAGGACAAACTGAAATTAAACTGCTTTGTAAACTATGGTTCAGTGTGTTGTGGAAATACAGCTGAAGTCTCTCTAAGTTATTAACTGAAAAAGATGAAAACAGCTGTAAAGTCATTAAATGGCTAAACAATGAAGTGATAGAAACAAAAAACGTTAGAATATGTCTTTTCAAGCCTGTGTTTTCACAGTGCTCTAGTCCAAAATATCTTTGGTTAATTTATGGCTTATTTTGTTGTATGGATCTGGCCAATCTGGAAAATTTAGTGCACAGTTCAGTCAAACAAACAAACTTTGAATATTGATTTATCTTAGGAAACCAGAGGTCATTTAACCAAGATTATGTGCTGGATGTGGCAGTTATTATCTCTTGAAAGAAAGACATGCTTTTTAGCAGTGGTGGTATTCTACCAGTTCGGCCTGGTTCTGCTGAGCCGGTAGTGCCGATGAGCTGTGGAGACCGGACTGCGGCACATCAGATTGCCACGCATCAGCTGTTGAAGACACAGGGAGGTGAGTCAAAATGCCTCTGCGCCTGCGCAAAGTGCATTTTTGGCATGTGCACACACACAAAGTGTGTGCACTACCAAGCCATGCCCACCAAACTGGTGGTAAAAAATTTTTTGAAACGCACCACTGATTTTTTAGCGTCATCTGCTGTTGTGGCATCTTCACAACTTGTTAATCATATACACTAGCCATTTCCACACTGTAATTGCCAGTAATTTGCATAGAGATTGTTTTGAGAAACTAAATTAGCCAATGGACCTTACTTGTGTAAACTTTGGGTAGAGCAAAGGTGTCCAACCTTGGCAACTTAAAAACCTGTGGACCAATTCCCAGAATTCCTCAGCCAGCATGGGGAATTCTGGGAGTTGAAGTCCACAGGTCTTAAAGTTGCCAAGGTTAGACACCCCTGGTGTAGAGATCCCAAACCAGAAAGGAAGGAAAATTTTCAGAAGGGAAGAGTTTCTTGGAAATTTAGCACTGAAGAAGGACAAGGAGAAGTTGTTTAAATCAAGAAAAGTATCTCCTCCATGGCTTCATTATGATGCAACATTTTGCACTCCAAAACCACACCTTCCTTTTCCTACTTCCATGTCCTTGTACCAGACTTGACATGGCACTGCACAATTGTTTATGAATTCTCAGGACCACCATGTTTCACCCAAGGAGTCATATCACAATCTCAGTTAATGGGAACTCCTCAGATATCTTCCTCAGGATCTAAGACTTTCTTGAACTTAGACTGAGTTCCAGGTTCTTCTTTTTGCAGTGACATTTGATGCTAATGTCAATGTCTAACCCCGGTGACTGGCAGAGCTTTGGCTTGGCCAAGGAATAGTATGGTTAGGAGCTCCACAGTTGACTCATCATGAGTCCATAATTTGCAGCCATGTCTGCATGAGCATCCAAGATAATTTTCAAAAAGGAGTATTTCCGGTGACTTGCATCTCCTTGGGAGAGGACACTTCTGTCTTTGGACTGATATTGGACAACTTGATGTCAGGCACTTCACCAGTTTTGATGTCCTTCATCATTTGATTGCCTTGCCTGCAACGTTTTATGATTAAAGTGCAAAGGATGATATAAAGGAAGATGCTTCCAAATCTTAGTGCAGCAATGACCCCAAGGTAGACATTTCTAGGAGGAAAAACAGAGGGAGAAGAAGCTGAGTTGGAACAGAGCAGAAATGTTTCCCAGAAGAATTTATCCCCTTTGGAGATCAATAACAACCTTAGCCTTTCAGAAGATTCAAAGCCTACAGTATTCACATATCAGGCAGTCGTGTTTTGTGCAATAATGGTTTATTTAATAAACTACAATTAAAGAAGTCCAAATCAGAATATCAACAGTGGCTAAGTTCCATAGGGCAAGTCTGCTTAGTTTGGGTTTAGTGTGTTGTGTGAACCCTCCATAAAATTACGGAGCTGTACTGCAGTCTCACTTCATTCTTTTCTCCTATTCTTTTTTTTTCCTGTCCATTTCTTTCTAACAATGTTCTTGCCCTTGTCCTTTCCTTCCTTCCTTCCTTCCTTCCCCTTCCTTCCTTCCTTCCTTCCTCTCCCTCCCTCCTTCCTTTCCATCCATCCATCTATCCACTCTTTGCCTTCCTCCCTCCTTCCCTTCCATCCATCCATCCATCTATCCATCCATCCATCCATCCACACTCTCTTTGCCTGCCTGCCTTCCTCCCTCTCCCTGAAAGCTACATTAATACAAATAAAAGACTTGTCAACATATAACTATTCTATGAAAGGTCTTCATCTTTATTTAATGTATGAAAACAGATTTATTCATCCACACCCAAACACAACGAAAATTCACAGTTCAGCCAATTTTAGACCATAGACTCTTTTCCTCCTTTGAGGCTTACCTGAATGCTTTGGTATCATATACTCTGCAAGCCCCAGAGCCACCACAAGTTTTCCTACTCCATTTCAAGCAGGTCTGATCAATTAAAGCTCCAAAGTAAATTGGTGCAGGAAGCCCTCCTGAAATAGGACGAAAGGGACAAGTAAGACAGACTTGACTTACTCAGCAAGGCTTGAGAGGAACACCCTGCTGGGGTGGGGTGGGGGTTGGACTAGATGACCTCCAAGGTCCCTTCCAATCTGTTAAATCTGACAAAAAACCTCAGGGGCCAAGTATGTGCAGTGAGAATTTAATGGCTTAGGTCAAACTCCAAAAAAAAAGGAAACAAGGAGTAGGAAGTGCAAAGGTCTTTGGATGGAGCCATATTTTCAGACTGTGCAGGGACTACTGGTTGTATGTATAAATTATGTGGAACGGACATCCTGTTCTAACTCCTGACCCCCAGCCACTGCAAATGATGTGTGATCGAAAATATGTGTGATCGAAAAAAGGAGAATGGTTTTCACTGTGGAAGTGTGTCTGCCAATTGAATTATTTGACCACCCTTTTTCTATGGAGTCCTCTCCATAGAATTCTGTCAATCAAGAGAGATTAAGAAGTTGAAGTGACAGTAGGCTACCATCTTGAATTATTTGACCACCACTTTCCTATGGATTTCAATTGGGATTCTGTCAATCAGAAGTTGAAGTGACAGTAGGCTGTCATCTTGAATTATTTGACCACCGCTTCCCTGTGGATTCTCCTGGAGTTCTGTCAGCCAAGAGAGGTTAAGAAAGTGAAGTGACAGCAGCAAAGAAATTGTCCAATGGCGGCTTGCAGTTTAGACTGAAGAAGCCCAGCCCAGCCTTTTCAAGAAATTGCCAAACCGGTCCAGACATTTTGCTTAAACTTAGCAAAACTTAGTTAGACTTAAGCGACCATGAGCATAAGAAAAGCTTAAAAGAGTGGGGTGGCTATGCCTTCATCACCAACAGCTTTAAAATAGTTCTCCTAAAATTGACATTACCTGGGATAATCAACCTCAATCATGACAGACAATTGAATCCAATATATTTAGAAGACAGACAATCAGTGTATGTTACTCTTAGGATACCACATTACTCAGTTTCTCTCCAAAATATTGAGCATCTCATGGATAATAAAATTTAAAATGAAATTTGCCTAAAATTTAAAATGAAATCTGGAATCTATTTACCAAGGACTCTTCCACATAAAGCTTCAATGCCCACTGCAAAAGATTTCAAATCTGGTGAAACCGATCTGAAAAGATGAGGAGGAGAAGTTCAAAAGTGAGTTTTAGACAAGAACATTGAAATAAATGAATTCTAGAGGGAAGACGGAAAATAAGATTGTAAATATTGGTCGGAAATTATATGTTTTAAAATTTCTGATTCTTTTTCTATCATTTTTTCTGTTTCTTCCCTTTTTCTTTTTTATTATCTTTCTCTTATTTCTTTTGCTTTAGATTTGTCTTTTAATAAGGAAAATAACAACAGCAATAATAATCTACCAGCATAATTAAATATCCTTAAATGCTCGCAAACATAAATAAATGTTTTCTTCTATGTCCTATTTATCAATGTCATTTTAATCTTTGTATCATTTCATAGAAATTTTAAATTCAGTTTTAATGTTTAAACAGTGTTGTTATTCATCCTCAAGTCTTTGGATTAAAAATTAAATAAATAAGTGTGGGCAAATCCTGGTGATGTTAAATTAAATTACAACTTCGGATGTGGAAAAATTGATTTGTGTAACAACAATATGTTTCCATGAGTAGAAATTTCACTGGGAACTATAATAGCAGTTTTTGCGCATGGTGGATTTCAACAATGCATTACGGCTAGTCCTTGGCTTACGATTATAATGGAGCCTGCAGTCACGACAGCTGTAAAACAGGTTGGTCATGTGATTGACCCAATTTTAAAGACCTCTTTTTGTTAAGCTAAAGCTATGGTTGTAAAGCCACCCCTGTGGTCTTAAAGCAAACAATGGATCCTGCAACATTATCCTGGGATACATATATTTATCTTAATTCATTAAGGCAAACACCACAGTCGTAAATCGAATGTTTCAGTCATTCAGCGAATGCCACAGTTGTTAAGTCCCAAAGGTACTTTTTTAAAAGAGGCAACTGGACTTTCTTGTTTTTTCTTTGAAGATGTTTCGCTTCTCATCCAAGAAGCTTCTTCAGCTCTTACTGGATGGGAGGGAATGGAAGAACTGAAGAAGCTTCTTGGATGAGAAGCAAAACGTCTTCAAAGAAAAAACAAGGAAGTCCAGTTGTCTCTTTAAAAAAGCACCTTTGGGACAGCCATGACCTGGATGAATGAAAATCCCCATAGACACACTTGTTAAGAGAACTAGTGGTTTGCTGTGGGTGCAATTTTACTGAAAGCCAGAGGTAAATGCCAGGTTTTGGGAAAACCATCATAAAATGTGAGCATGTAACTGAAGGGTGTTGCACAATGGCTGTAAATGCACCCTTACTGCAGGGTGTCCTGTTTAGTTATATGACTGTGGGGGAAGCAATTGTTAGAATTTTGAATCCAGGTCGTAAGTAGCACTTAGACTTATATACTGCTTTACAGACCTCTCTAAGCGGTTTACAGAGTCAGTCCATTGCCCCCAACAATCCGGGTCCTCATTTTACAGACCTCAGAAGGATGGAAGGCTGAGTCAACCTTGAGCCTGGTGAGGATCGAACTCCCCGCAGTTGGCAGAATTAGCCTGCAGTACTGCATTCTGACCACTGCACCACCACGGCTCATGGTAGCCCAAGGTAGGTCTGTCTTAACCTAGAACGATTGTTAGACAACTGGCCCTATGTTGAGAATTACCTGTACTGAAGCTGGCACAATAAATAAAAGGAAATAAAATGCAATCATGTGTTTGCAATCTGAGAACTGCCTTTTGCCACTCAGAAGTAAACTGCAAAACAAGCAATGAATGGCATGGAAGGGTATGATTTTACAATCTTTTTAGAGTATTGTTTTTACAGTAATTTTACAATATTTCACCAGTTTGCCCTCCCGTGCTTTAAAAAAGGACAAAAGAAAGAATGTAAAAGTCTTCACCTAAACATAAGCATATACGCTGGCGTTCCTCCCAAAGAGAAGATAAATGCCATTATCGACAACAACACTAAAAAGTAAGGGAATTCTCTTGTACACTTATCCCTTGGACATTGACCCAAAACTGCAGAAAAATTACCAGCTCCTGAAACCCCTGGACAGCTGCAGTTTTGATATACCTGCAAGATAAAAGAAAAATGAAGTAAAGGCTTGGATTGGTCTACATTTCCAAATCTCTATCTTCATGCAAGCGATGTAATTAATGTTTTCTAGGAATGTCAATCATTTTCAAAGTAACATAATAACTGAGTTGGAAGTGACCTTAGAGATCTTCTAGTCCAACCTCTGCTTTGCCCACATGGAATATAAAAATAAGGTAAGTTATCGTTAAAAATAAGGTCTTGTTCTCTGCCCCCAAGTATTAATCAATTACATTAATGAAACTTGTACCACAGGGTATTAATTGTACAATAAAGCCACAATAAATGTGTCCAGGTTATGAACTAGGTTCTAGTTGCTGCATCAGAATAACAGAGTTGAAAGGGACCAACTCTTATTTTCTCACGGATGTTTCATTACCCAACTAGATAACATCATCAGGGCTAGAAAGGAGTAGATATTCTGTTCTGTTCTGTTCTGTTCTACTCTACTCTACTCTACTCTACTCTACTCTACTCTACTCTACTCTACTCTATTTGTAGCTCAAGATTGAACTTTGGAGTCCTTGATGCTTAGTGGTTTTCCTGCAGACATTTCATTACCCAACTGAGTAACATCATCAGTGTGAGTGTGTGTAGGGTTCTCTTCTGTCAATCATATTGACTTGTTTTACCCTTTATTGCCAATATGGGATCTTCTTCTGGATTTCCAGGAATTTAGTGGAAAAGTCAGAAGAGGCTATTGTGCCATTAGCTCCAATAACATGACATTCAGCATGAAGTTGTCCAGAATCGTTTTGGGCAGTGAGATGAGTGGCACATACAATCAATCTCTATATATAAAAGCAAAAGACCACTCACGCATCATCACAAAATCTCCAGAACCGTAAAGCCTACAAACTTGAAATTTGGCACGTATGTTCCTCTTGGCTTCTAAGTGCTTGCTAAGAAAGGATTTTTCGAAATGACCATCAAAGCATTAGTATTTTGTATATTATTATTAACATGCTCTGATGCTAAGGAGTTCTACTCCCCCTCCCTACCTGAAAAGAAATCTGTTCCAAATGCAAAACACAAGCAGAGGAGAGGAGTTTCAGTTTCAGTTTTAGTTTCACAGCACCAAGCAGCTTTAGTACAGAACTGTTGAGCTAAGCCACGCCCAGGCTCCTTGCTGTCTCCTTCTTGCTCACACAGCAAATACTGTTTCAGTTTCCTCAACTCTCTCACACACTGACAGGACGCTAGCCAGATGAATACCGACGGATGCTGGTAGGCAGAGGCAGAATTCCCCCCCCCCCCCTTATTTTCCTTCCAAAAAACTAAGCCTGACTACATAGTTTCGTAGCGAAGCACAGGTATCAAGCAAGCAAATAAAATAAATGTCAAGGGCAGCAGCACCAATAGGGAACAAGCTTGCCTAGAAGTGAAGCACCCTTATAAAAATTTGCCCAGATCTAATATTCTGTGACTCGCCCATTTCTCAGGAAACTAAGACCTTATTTATTGATTTATTCAATTGTTATGCTCCCCATTTCTCCTACTGAAAGTGATACAATAAATAGATAGATAGATAGATAGATAGATAGATAGATAGATAGATAGATAGATAGATAAATGCAAACAAACAAACAATGAGAACTTATTTCCTTTCCATTATAGGGATGAAGTGTAACATCTCTGCATTTACCAAATCCTTTCCATGTCCCACAGAATTTTTGCAGCCAGCTAAACAAGGGTTCATGTAGGTGATACCGTTGTCTCCACAAACTGGGTCCCAGAGGGTCGCTTCACAGCCACAGTTAGAGTTGCAGGCAGATAACGGCTTCTCTTTGTTGAAGGACACTTCTGGGACGCTACAGGAATAGTGATGGAGCCGTCATCAATCCCAAGACAGAAAGATAGAGCTATTCTCAGCCAAAACAATGCCATCCGTGCATAAGAGGCAAGAACTACAGGTTGCAGAAGGATAACAAAGTGTTGGAAAACAACCCACTGCAAGAAAGAAGGATCCCAAAAGAGAACAATAAGAGTGAATTCTCCCAGAAAAAACCACTTTTGACTCTATTGGATTGATGATGTGTGGGTTTTTTTCTCCTAATACTGTGCTTTAATTTACTTTGTACCTTTTTCATGGGAAAATCATCCCAAGGAAAGAGGTTGATGTTTTCTACCTTATTCTTGGGATGATTGAAGATTTCTTTCCAAATTCTCTCTGTGGTTCCCCTCTCCCCTTCCACCCTCAGCTTACAGATAGTCCTCGAGTTATAACTGTACAGTGAAAGCTGCCCATTATGATCACAAGTCATAATGGTTGTAAAATGGATTGGTCGCATGACCGATCAGATTTTACTACCTTTTTATGGTAGTTAAGTGAACACTACAGTCATTAAGTGAAACCATGGCTTGTTATGGACTCAGTTTTCCTCGTAAACCAGAAATGCTGAACTGTGGTCACATGACTGGAGTGGGACATCTGTCAGAACTTCAGATGCTGGTCATAAAGCCCTTTTTGATTTGGTTGTAACTTTGAATGGTCCGTTATAAGTCAAGAACTAGCTCACTAGTGGTATTCAGCCGGTTCGCATTGGTTCAGCCGAGCTGGTTGTTAAATCCCACCCACCCCGCTACCAAAGTGGATTCTGGGTGCTGTGCTGCACTGCAATGGAGAAACAGGAAATGGAGTGGCTAGAGCGAAGAAAGGAGAAGGCCGCTTTCCCACTTTCTTCTCCCTGTTCCTCCTGCTTCCCTCATGCCAGTCGCTCCGTTTCCTGTTTTTCCATTGCAGCGCAGTGGCCAGGATCCTCTTTGATAGCAGGTGAGTGCGTGTAATTTAACAACCAGTTCACCCAGGGTCATGTTGACCATTGTGGGAGGATCGTCCTGAAGGTATGGCAGAAGTGGAGGATGGGATGGGCCACATACCCCCATGACAGCCAACATGACCCTGGGCAAACTGGTTGTTAAATTATTTGAATCCCACCACTGGACTATCTGTAGTTGGTTAGAGATGGTGGTGAGCATTTATTAGTGTTGGTATTTTCTGATTCTCATCTGGTCATCACTCTGAAGCTCCTGGATAGGAAAAAAAAAAATCCTGATTGGAAGAATTCCCACTGGGTCTTTTCCAAATTGGAAAAGGGAGATTTCAGAAAGCCACTGTACATTTGCAAAAAGTGTGGCTCTGGTGGCCCTGTCTCCTCAGCTCCATGGGGGCCTATTGACCACAATGAGCAATAAGGCAGCAAGGTCTAGATAGACAACTAAGATCGGCAGGTAGTCCTCGATTTATGACAACAATGGAGCCCAAAATTTCCACTGTTAAGGGAGACATTCGTTAAGTGAGTTTTGCCCAGTTCCTTCCTTACTAACATTGATGAAATGAATCACTGCAGTAACCTGGTTGTTAAGTGAATCTGTCCTCCGCATTGACTTTGCTCCGCATTGGAAGGTTGCAAAAGGGGATCATGTGACCTTGGGACACAGCAGCGATCATAAGTTTGAACCCGTGGCCAAGCATCTGAATTTTGATCCCGTGATCATGGGGATCGTAACCATGGAAAACAGTCCTAGGTCACTTTTTCATTGCTGTTATAACTTTGAACGGTCGCTAAATTAACTATTGTAAGCCAAGGACTGCCTGCATTCTGTGTCTTCTCTTGGCCTATTCTTCTACATGCCTTCCTTCCTCTGCTAATCTCAGCTCTTTTTCTTCCCATGCATAGATCATGCCCTTTGGAGCTCTCCTCCCCATAGGCTTTTGAGCACTGGGGAGATGAAGTCACACACAACCCTTGATCTTCTTGTAAAGAAATAATTGCAAGAATGTCCCATTCCAGCAATGAGAATTGCTAAGATCTTCTTGTCCCTATTGAAAGAAATGTCCCAGGCTACTTTTGATGGAAATCAAATTAAATGAGAAAGTGGGGAACAAGCAGTGGTGGGATTCAATTTTTTTTACTACCGGTTCTGTGGGCGTGGCTTAGTGGGTGTGGCAGGGGCAGGATACTATAAAATTTCCAGTCAGAGGTGGTATTTGCTGGTTCTCCGAACTACTCAAAATTTCCACTACTGGTTCTCCAGAACTGGTCAGAACCTGCTGAATTCCACCTCTGGGAACAAGATATAGGAGAACTTTTCTACCTGGTACGCTTCTGAGAGAGAAAAATGCATCAGAATACACTACATGCATTAGAAAACATGCATTAGAATATATGTGTCAGCAAACATGCATTAGAAAACATACATTACAAATAGCAATAGTACTTAGACTTATACACCACTTCACAGTGCTTTACAGTCTTCTCTAAGTGGTTTACAGAGTCAGCCTATTGCCCCCAACAATCTGGGTCCCCATTTTACCCACCTCTGAAGGATGGAAGGCTGAGTCAACCTTGAGCCTGGTGAGATTCGATCTGCCTAATTGCAGTCAGCTAGCAGTCAGCAGAAGTAGCCTGCAGTACTGCACTCTAACCACTGCGCCACCCCAGCTCTAAAACATGCATTAACTGCCTCTTCCTCCCATCACCCCCAAAAGAGGAACCAGGTGACAAACCCAGAATAGTTGACAGTCAAACCAGCCACTTGAAGCACTTGGCAACTGGCACCAAAATAAAACAGGTTTAACAGGAAGCCTGTCAGAAAGGTCATACAGGCAAACTTCGCCATGGCTGTGATGGGCAGTTTGAACCTCTTGATGATAAAACCTCCCAGGAACATCCCCACAATGGTAATAGGTAAGACGATCACACCTGTAAAGCAGAGGGAGCAACGATGTTATCTCATGTGCCACTCCGCACAAAACACACTACCTTCTTCAGAATCACAGTTACCATAACCCACTGCCAGGAGTATAGGTAGTCCTCGACTTACAACCATGTGTTTAATGAACATTCAAAGTTACATCAACGCTGAAACAAGGGGACGTATGACCGTGTTTCACACCAACGGCCTTTGCAGCATCCCCGCAGTCACGAGAGCTGGACAACGGACTCACATTTATAATGACGGCTGCAATGTCCCTGGATCCCCTTTTGCCACCTTCTGACATGCAAAGTCCAGGGAGAAGCCAGAGTTCCTTCACAACCATGTTACTAACTTAACAACTGCAGTGATGCACTTACGAACTATGACAAGAAAGGTTGTAAAATGAGGCAAAACTCCCTTAACGACTGTCTTGCTTGGAGATTTCGAACTCAGTGGTGGTTGTAAGCCAAGAACTACCTGTAATAATTATCTGCCTCATTTTGGCAGGGTGATGAGACAATGCCAGCTGAGGGTGAGGTCAGAACCAAATTTGATGAGTCTGGTCAGAACCAAAATTGAATGTTTTCTCTCCTAACACTGCTGCTGTCTCTGGTGTCCTCATTTCTTGCTATTTTATTTGGCGTTCCCTTCTATCCTGTTCTTCCTCTTTCTCTCTGCTACCCAACACTCCTCTCTATTCACACAGAGTTCACTCTTACAGGAAAAGGATGTCCACCAATTTATCTTGTGTGCCTGCTCAATCTCATGGAATATCTAGTAGTTTTGTGTAGTGGTTAAGGGACCAAATTAGAAACCGGAAGACTGTGAATTCCAGTCCCATCTTAGGCATGAAAGCCAGCTGTGTGACTTTGGGCTAATCACCAGGTGACAGTGAATTCCAAACCTGCCTTACCCATGAAGCCAGCTGGGTATCTTTGGGCCAATCACTTTCTCTCTCTCTCAGCTCAACCTATCTCAAAGAGTTGAAAAAAGGAGTAGTAGGAAGATGTATGGATAATAAAAAGAAGAGTTCCACCTACCAATAAGAAAAATGGCTCTTGAAACGGAGATGTTGAACTGCTGCTCCATAAACTTTGATTCAAAGGTTATGATGCCAACCAGAGAATTGTATTGGAGGATTGTAAGGAGCAAATAGATCAGGAAGATGGAGTTTCCAAACAGCTTCTTCAAAGTAGGAAAGAAATCTGGAATAGCAAAAATAAAATAAAATTAAAAGGATAAAACCAAATTCAATATCAGATCTATTTTTGTTCAACTTTGTAATTTAAAAAAATATGATTTCACAAGGAGGAAAAATCATCGATTATATAATTAAGTCATTCATTAAGTTGTTAATTAACATGATTGGAATAAAATCCTCACAAGAGTTGAGATTTATAGACATGACCTAATCCAACAGGATTAATTGGACATTATAGCAAAATCAGTACCAGGGTCAAAGTGAGTTAGCAATAGCAATAGCACTTAGACTTATATACCTCTTCACAGCCCTCTCTAAGTGGTTTACAGAGTCAGCACATTGGCCCCAACAATCTGGGTCCTCATTTTACCCATGGAAGGATGGAAGGCTGAGTCAACCTTGAGCTGGTCAGGATCGAAGGAATCGAAATTCTGGCAAGGTGAGCAGAGTTAGCCTGCAATGCTGCATTCTAACCACTGCACCACCACAGTTCACAGTTAGTTTCTCAAAATGCTAACAAGAAAGAGTTCCTTTCCAAAGCATACAACTTTGAAAACCTGATACCTCCTGATTCAACTTAGACATCTGAGACACACTTTTCTAACCACTTTTAGAAATCTCTTTGTAACCCTCTTCAGTTACTAGGATCTTTTGGATCCACAAGTTTTACAGCAGTGGTTGAGTTTCCCTCAATCTTTAGAGAAAGGAGTTTTAATACAGGTTTAAGGACTTTAAAACTTCTTTTGCAGCAAAAGTGTGTTTGGGAAGTTTGATTTAGGTATTGTTTTGAATTCTCTTTTTTTAAAAAAAAATTGTTAAAGCTTTGAAGAATTTTGTGAGAAGGGCAAAGAAATTTAAAAAAAACATAGGATATTATTTGAAAGGGATTAAAAATCAATATTGTTAAAAGAAAAAGGAAGGGATATAAAGTTGGTTTATTTGATCAGGGTTAAAATAGCTGTTATTATCTCTGCTAACTCTTAATGGACTTTACTGATTAGGACTGAATTATAAGAGTTTAAAGACTTGCTTATAGATAAGAGCGGGATATGGGAAAATACATTGATGTATTTTCAAGGAAGGTGATAAATTACTAAAACTGTTTATACTTTTTGTGATGAAGATGGAAGTCATTATACAAAGAAACAATTTCTTTTTTATATTACAGCACGTTATTTTTTCTTTCTTTTCTATTTTTTCTTTCCTGCACTTTCTTTTTTCTCTTCCCATTAAAATTAATTAGTTTTTCTCTTTTAATTTTAATCTTTGAAAATAAAATTATATTTAAAAACTGGACATGTTTCCAAAAAGATATTTTTGGAAACCATAGCCCTTTCATTTACATTTATTTATTAAATTTATATGCCATCCGTCTCAGTCTAAGAAGTGACTCTGGCAATTGAGTAAAAGGTTGGAGAACACAGATTTAGTTACAAAGCTCAGAACGAGCTACTCGTGAAGAGGTCATTCAAACACCTTTTGCCACTTCTGAAACCTTTAGCCGTGGGGGTCTCGGAGCTTCCATTTTGTTCTGGCCGACTTGAGTGATTCCATAAACTTCCATTGACTTCTTAACAACTTGTTCTTCTTCTTGTGGCAAAGAGTAAGGCAGGAACCAGAAAGGAAGAGATGACATAAAACTGGTGGCACCACAGATCAATATCCCAAGCCACCAAGCACCAACCCAACGTGTGTCTTTGGAATTGATGGTCAGTGTATCTAGGAGAAAAGGGAAGAAAAGAGAGGCAAACTTGCGTATGAAGGCTCTTACTACATTTTCTATTAAGTACATCCCTTGGATTCACCAGGACCTAACGTTCATGGTGTTGAATCTTAAACATGGTTTAGCAACACGCAGTTCAGTTCCATTTGAACAGCTCCCTATCAGCTCCTCTAAATTTGAAGGCTCTTTATTATCATAAGCAAAGGTTAGGTTGTTTTACATGTGCACAACCTGGCCTCTTGCTTAGTGTATCATTCAAACGATTAGGCAAGAAAGTGGATTCTTCTAGTAACCAAGTTAAGTAGGTTATGGGTTGTTGTTTTTTTGTTCCACTCAATTGTGTCTGATTCTTGCAGATGGCCTTGTGGTTTTCTTAGCAAGGTTTTTCAGAAGTGGTTTGCTATTACCTCCTTCTTGGGGCCTGAGACAGAGTGACTGGCTCAAGGTCATCCAACTGGCTTTTTAGGAGAGACTAGAAGTCACCATCTACCCATTTCTAGTCTGATATCTTAACTCACTTTCTGTGGACTAGTCACTTGTAACAGACCCAATTATAGGATGGCGTCATGTAATAGCTTCGTTCACACTCAATCAGTGGTGGTATTCAATTTTTTTTTACTACCGGTTCTATGGGGGTGACTTGGTGGGTGTGGTGTGGTGTGGCTTGGTGGGCATAGCTTGGTAGGCATGGCAGGGGAAGGATATACTGCAAAATCCCCATTCCCTCCCCACTCCTGAGGCAAGGTTACCGCAAAATCCCATTCCCTCCCCACCCCACTAGCCTGCTTTCCAGCTTCATTCTCCTGTGCAGAGCAACAAAAGAAGACCCAACTGATCAGCAGCGAATAAATGGGGGAGTTCTTTTAGAATAATGTCTGGACAGTAATGTTGTCCGATGCATCTGAAGTTTGCTAACTGGGACTTCATTAAATCAAAGTTTTGGTGTCTGGCTAGCAAACGTCTACCAGTTAAAAAGACAAAACTGGCTGAGGAGAAACATTGGAGGTGATACTTGCTCCTTACCTGGGTTTACTGCTCCAATGTCAACCCACAAACTGGCACAAAAAGCTCCAAGCAGGAAGCCAAGAGACGGCCCAAACATCCCTGCAGACCGTACAGTTCCTACAAAAGATGAGTTAACCTAAGTACAGGAACACCTGCAGAACAAGACTTCAACACAGATGAAGAATGGGGTCTACAGCAGGCGGCTGCATCAAACCAACCTTGACTGCTCACAAAGCTAAGCAAGGCGATATTTGAAAGGTACTTAAATGAAGACCACCAGAAAATCCCAGAATTGAAAACTTGACTTGGAACATCTACCATCTTTCCTTCCCTCTCTCCCACCCTCCTCCATCCATCCATCCATCCATCCATCCACCCAGCAGTGACAATAGCAATTGCAAATTACTTCCATATTATTGCTAAAAAATAGGCAGGTGTTGTTACCTTTAAGGTTGGGAAAATGAATGATTCTATCTGTAAGAGAAGGATTGACAGAGCCAGGGGAGGAGTTAAAAGAGGCATCACTTTAGAATCATTATGTAGCCACAAGCAAACTAAGTCCAATGACCATGGGATATAGGGGAAGAGACACAGATGAAGGGTGGGACACAGAACTGTATAAGGGGTAGAGAAAGGCACTCAGAAAGAATCCTCCCTAACTTATCAGGCTTTTAAAAGATACGGTGTGGGATATGTACTTTCAGACTTGCAAGTTTTGTTAACATAACCCGACAACAAAGTAGAATTAGGTTACAACTACACCACTACTACTAAACTACTGATTGTTTCTCCCAATTTTCTTCCCAAAATATCCTCTGTTCTCACTCTCCAAAACCTGGCAAAATCCCTTCTCTCATAAATGACCTCTGTGATCATATCAAAAGCAACTGCATTCTCTTCGCTGATGATGTAAAGCTGTTCAACACCACAGACAATACTGCTACCCTTCAAAAAGACCTTGACTATGTATCAGAATGGTCAAACAAATGGCAACTTCAAATCTCAACAAATAAATGATCTGTCTTACATATTGGCAAAAAAAATCAGAAAATAAAATACAGGCTGAATAGTCAAGACCTTGTTGATGATCCAAACTCTGTCAAGGATCTTGGAGTACTCATCTTTAATGATCTAAGTGCTAGAGCCCACTGTAACTACATAGCCAAAAAGGCATTAAGAGTTGTTAACCTAATCCTATGTAGCTTTTTCTCTGGTAATATCACACTATGAACTAGAGCATACAAACATTTGCTAGGCCAATACTCAAATACAGCTCATCAGTCTGGAACCCACATTACGTATCTGATATTAACACAGTTGAGAAAGTCCAGAAATATTTCACAAGAAGAGTTCTCCACTCCTTTACTCGTTGTAGAATACCTTATGCCACCAGACTTGAAATTCTAGACCTAGAAAACCTAGAACTATGCCGCCTTCGGTCCGATCTAAGTATGGTATATAAAATCACACATTGCAATGTCCTACCTGTCAATGAATACTTCAGCTTCAACCATAACAACACAAGAGCAAACAATAGATACAAACTCAAGGTTGGACTTCCGGTTTGCAAGGTTTCGGCAGCGGCAGGGATTCGCGATACTGCGCGATCCCTGCTGCGTTCGCTGCCAAGGTTCCCCCGATCCGTTTGGATCTGGGGGATATAGCTGCCCTGTAGAGGCAGCTGAAGAGAGGGGGGATCCGGACAGGGGCTTGGGGGTGTCGCAGACCCCCTCCCCAGCCGGCAGAACCCCCTTTTCCCAAGGCGCAGGAGCGGCGGTCAGCAATGGCCGCCTCGAAGAAACCTGCAGCCGGACAAGCTGGTGCAGGAGGGAGAAAGTTGGAAGAATTATGAAAGTGGCTTTCAACCGGGACAAGGCAAGAGAAAGTGCCCTGGAATCTTGAAGGCTGCTAAGGATACATTGTTTCTAGTGAGAGTTACAAGCTGCGAATATTCTAAAAGGGAAAGTTTTTTTTTCCTTTCGTTTCACTCTCCTTCCTAACGTGACAGCGGATGGAATCATAAGAGAAATCCGAAAACCTGCATTGGAGGTAATTGAATGCTGAAGGGATAAAGATTTCTGAACATTTAAAGGGAAAAAAAATCTTTTTGGCTGTGAGTGGGAAGGGAGAGGGAAAAAAAATTGGAGCAAAATTTGAAAATAAGGAGAAGATTGCCTAGAATTCTAAAGAGTTACTAAACATCAATAAGACTTCTAAAAGATATATTTTAAAGGGAACTTTGTGACTAAACTTTAACCCCAGAAAGAGAAAGTGAAGAAGGAGAAAGTATTTAAAAGAAACAGCCTGTTTGGATTGTTTGGTGATTTTGGAACTTCTGAGAACTATTTCTGATTAAAAGCACTCGGGTGGTTGTTTGGGAAAACTTTTTCTCTGCACAATGGCATCACTTGTGGATGGACTGAAACTTGTATACCAAAAATATGAAAAAGAAAAGCAAGAAGGGAAAGATGTCCTTGGCACTCTTTTTCAATTTTTAGAAATGGCGGTTTGTACTTATGTAAAGCTGAATGAGCAACAGGATGACTGGGACAAAGAAGAAGCCATCTTTGATGAACAAGTGACTTTGGTCGAGGAAGGAAAAAAGAAAGAGAAAAAGGAGAAGAAGACTTTAAGACCTGGAAAAACAACCAAAAAAGAGAAGAATAAGGTGAAAAGGGGATATTATGTTAGGAAACAACAGAAAGGAGGAAAGCAGAATAAAAGGGGGGTGGAGAGACAAGGGGTTAAAGAGGACAAGGAGAAGAAGAAGCAAGGGAGAAAGGAAGGGATGAGAAGCCTTAATGGTGGGGAGCAAGATGCAAAGAAGCAAAAGTTTTTTAGAGATAATGGATAAATTTTATTGAAAAAGGGATTCTAGAAAGGTACATAAGTACATTTGTACTTAGAAATAACCATAGAAAATTGGAAATAATATGCAATTTAAAATGTGATAAAATATTTAGTATAATTTAGGGAAATTTTTGTTAAGAAAAGGGGAACACTTTAATGAAACAATGATTTAAGATATGTGATGTGGGGGGGGGATAATTATGGAAAGCATAAGTGTTCCCATAAAGCCATGATATTTAACTGAAATGGGTAAAATGTTTAAGATATAAATGATTGTTAATATTAATGATTAGACTATGTTATCCTAGTGAAACTTTTTGTGAAATGAGA